ATGGTTCATTGTGGAGAAGAGGAGGCTCGGGGGAAACCTCATCGGTCTCTACAACCACCTGAAAGGAGGTTGTAACAAGGTGGGGGTGGGCCTCTGCTCCTGGGACACTAGTAGCTTCAAATTAGGCCAGGAGAGGTTGAAGATTAGGAAGGCTTTCTTCTCAGAAAGAGTGGGGAGGCATTGGCACAGGCTGCCCAGGGAGGTAGTAGAGAGTCACTGTCCCTGGAGGTGTTTATGAATCATGAAGACGTGGCACTGAGGGATATAGTTTAGTGGGCATGATGGTTAGACTAGATGATCTTAGTGGTCTTTTCCAACCTTAAAGAATCTATGATTCTATATTGACTAGAATAAGCAGAGGCAAGTGAATGGACACAACACCAAGATATGATAGGCCCCACTTGTGTGATGGAGAGGGACCACAGCATACAGCCCTTTTGACCCATCTCATCAGTCCAGCACAGCACCTTTCGCCTTACAAAGTTCTAGATGTAAAAGATATCTTCTCGAGGCATCTGGTTTCATAGGTTAGACTCCTAGTAAATAAGCCTTTTAATTCTGACTTTTATCTGACTTGGAAGATGTTGATACTTCAAGTCAACAGGAACTCCATGAGGTTAGCTCCTTGGGAGTTTTCTGAGCAGCTGACTTTGAGATCTACAAAGAAACAGTGCCTCTCTACAGAGTTTCAGCAGCACAGATCCTTCTTCAGTGCTTACTTTAAAATAGTTTTAAGATATCCCAAATCCTAAACCCATCATTTCTGCACAAAGGAAAAATGTGATTTGTGGTACAATGAATAAGGAAGTTCATCGGTTTAACCATTGAGTATTATTAGAAACCCAACTTGGTACAACAAACCTCTATCTATTTTTCATACTTTGGGCCAGCGAGCTTCTGCTGAACAGATCTCTTGTAGAAGTTTAGAAGACATCTGAAGTACAATATAAAGAACAGGAAAAATGCAAGGACTAAGTTTTTTTTTCCCTGCATATTTATCACTCAAGGAAAAAGAGGCTTGAAAGCCTCTCTCAGAGCCCTAATTCTTCTATCATATCTCAAAACATCTAACTTCTAGAGCTGAACAAAGTGCAGGAGACAAAATAAATCTAGCACTTGAGTACTGTAGACAAGCAAGGTATCAAGTCATACATGGGAACATGTAACTACTGTCATTGAAAGAAAACAACTTGCTATTTTAAGAATCATCTGCACAGATAATGCTCTCCAAAAACATGAAGCATCACTTTGTGTGGTATTTGCAGTGAGGTTTGACAATTTTACAAACATAAGAGTCACTATTAAAATTTGCCATTACTCAAAGATATATTCAGGCAGATTTCAAACCAGGAAATGTACTCTTGCCTCTTCCCTCTGTATAAAATCTTTCCCACTAGCACAATTGTAACCAGCCTACTTGTTAGAGTCAGTGAGTGCTTAATTGTGAAAAGTAATTGATTTATTTAATTTAACAGCCTCCAGACACCCATCGGTGCTGGTCCAGCTGGGAGGGGTTAACCACTATAAGCACTTAGGACTTTATTTTTATTTATTGATTACACATTTATGTTAATCTTGCAGGTAGGAAATGTCAATAAAACAAGAAAAAAAATGAACACATATTTTCAGTAATATTTACCAGTCATGCTGCTGTCTCTGTTTATTCCATTATGAAGTTTACAGTGAACAAATGCTGCGTCAAATAACCATGATCCAAAGAGGTTCAAGATGCTGTTAACCTTTGGCCTGCGAGGAGCTGGCAGTGGCCGTGGCTCAGAACTTGTCTGGTTTGGGCTAGAGAGCGGAGAAGTAGAGGATGGTTGGTGCTGCACTTTGGAAGCATGTGCAGTGGTTGCCTGTTTGAATGGAAGAACAAATCAGCTCCTAGAAAAATGAAAATTACTTCCTCTAACCAAGGGAGCTATCCAACAGGACAAGTACATAAATACAGAATACAAAATCTTACAGTGCTGGTTTTCATTGTTGCTTTATTCACAGTCACGGCCCGATGCCTTCGGTTATGTGGAGGAGTCGTGTTGATAGCAGTGTTCTGGGGCATGCTCAGCCTGTTTACTGGCGTGGGCGGTGCACTGTCTGACCGGGGTCGTGAAATGCCTGCAAAAATCAAGCTAGCTCTCAGCATGTCTTCTATGAACTCATACCCAGCAGCACAGCTACTCAGTCTTTGGACTTTCTGTAAATAGACTGCTTTCCCTCCTTCTCCAATCCCATAAACAGGCAAGAAGAAAAACATTTTTCCCTTTTACTGGCAAAAATAAATGCTCAAACAGAAGAAAATTCTGGTTGCATTAAATAAACAAATGTTAACAGAAAACCACTTCAGAACCTGGGAAAATGCACACGGGAGTACTAAGCCTAGGAGCAGGCAGAGGGAAAGGAGCAAGGGTCACTTGCCAAAGCCAATTTAACAGCTCACTCCTGCCAAAAATCACATGCATCTCACCTTTGCCCTTCTTTTCCAACCTACATCCCACAGCCCATTCTGAGGCAGCTCTAGGATGTTTGACCCTCAGTCAGCTCAGCTCACTAAATTAAGACAAAACCAACACACAGTGCAGCATTCCGCTGTTTTAGTGAGCCAGTTCAGCTTGCTGAACAAACACTACAGCGAGTGCAAGGGATGGGTAAGAAAGCTGAGCAAGCTACAATTTTCTGGCAGCAAGAAGTTAGATCAGCCATCTCACAAAGCCCAGCCTGGGGGAAGTATTTGAAGTGTGTAAGAAGCTACTCTTTCTAGTCACAGATTCCGACATAACTAGCTTAGAAATTCCCTCTGCCAAACTTGCAGTGACATACAGCACTTCTTCCCATTTCAATGAATACCATCCCCCTCACCCCCTGTTCAAAAAATTAAGTGCAAAACTGCAGCATGTCTGAAGACTGGACACAGTTTTTTGACTACACTGAAACACTCAAATGCTTCATATACACAGCACAGAACAATGAACTGTGAATCACTACTGCTGCGCCCCAAGCAGAGGTAATGTATGTAGTATGAAACTTACTCCTTTGGGACAATTTGTTTTTTGAGAGGGTGGAAAAAAAGGTGCAGCATTTTGCCAAATGCACACATCACCTAAACACGTACCAGAGAGGGCAAGATAAAAACAATGTGCTTCAATGCTTGATGTAGTGGGTAACAAGATTTCTCATTAGCCTTAGCTTAGTTCATCCATCTGCCCAAGACACAGTGTGTGTGTGTGCTCTATTTGATGTCACCAATAGCTCTGCTGTGCCCAAGAGCTACATTTGTTTGTTGGGCTTTTGTTGTTGTTGTTGTTTTTTAATTCAGCTTGCATCGACAGGAAAGGATTCTCTCCATATTCATGCTCAGTTTGCAATTTTTATTTATTTTATTATTATTTCAGTGGAGATGCTCAAATCCATCCCAGGTTAGCAGTGCGATAGAGTAATACAAAGATGTTGTTTTTAGGAAGTAAGGCCATATTTTGCCTATATATAGTTTACCTTTCACAAATTCCAGTAGTATTTGACTACTGAATATTTAATAACTCAGATGTAGTACTAATAAATAGCAATCATTAAAATTCCTTAAAGTTGGTGGCAAGGAATCTGGAAGCAGCACAGTACACACAACCATTTTTAAAAGTCACAATCATCTCCTACAACAGCCCCAGTTTGTGGAAGTGAGAACTGACCATCAGCTCTTTTCTGTTATTTGGTAGCTTTTAAACAATGCTACTCCTACCAAAGTGAAAAACATAGCAACCAAAGCTTGTTTGCACAGGGGAATAGGGTACCAACAGAGCCTAATTCCTCAGCCTATTTTTTCTCCTGCACAGTTTCTGTACCTGTTCAACTGCAGTCCAGTACCAGCTCACACTTTTGGCACATGCCAACACTTGCTTGCACACATTTAAAGAAAAAAGTAGTAGGAGACAGGTGGCTCTTCTGAGCCATTAACTCTGAAGAATTTTCAGTAAGACTGAAGGGTACTTAGAATACTGCCTTACATTTCAAGTGCTTTACAGTGTCACTTAAAATTTAGCAGCCAGTGCTGATATCTAAACCTATCCTTCAGGGGAACCTAAACAACTCGGTTACCAGGAGATGCAAAGAAACACAGCTCTTCTTCTCAGCAGCAGCACTCACCTACCATTCCTAAACTAATGGCAACTGCCAGCTGCAAAATAAGTACCTGAAGATTCCCATCAAAAATCAATAACTACCAAGAAAGGGGCACTGCACACAGCTGCTGTCACAAAGTCAGCAAATGAAGTCGTCAGTGCTCACAACATGCTAGAAGTGTAATGCCTGTATTGCTGGTTAGACAAAAGGAGAACGCAGCCTTATCTAGGGGAGAGACATTAATGCTGGACTCAACATTTAAAACTTTTTTGGCATTCATAAGGTCAACTGTAACTTTCTGCATTCAAATATAACTACTGTGTACACAGACAGTTATTTAGAAATGGTTTCAGGTCCCTCCCCTATCAATTTTAGGCTGTACTCACAAATGACAAATGGTCACATCTGTTTTCTGAAGAATCCAGATGAAAAAAGAAAAAAGAGAAGAAAGTAATGACCAGGTTACTGTTCTCAGCTACCCACAGGTAGGTCAAAATCATTACCTAGGAAAGCATCCACTAAACAGCTGATCCCACGCATGGCACGGAAGAATATTTGAGGCAGATGCTTAAGGCAGGGGTATTGATTCAGCTCTTGAGTCATCCCACTCACATTCAGAAACTGCTCCTGAAATTTGGGGGTAGAACTAATAATGGCTGGGTTACTCAAATCCACAGGATTACTGCACACACACAAAAAAAGAGAATATGTTTTAGTCAGTTTAAGGACAGTTTTTAAGATTACAAGAATGTTTAGAGATGTAATACTTTAAGGCAATTAATTAACAGTAACACATGAGATCATCAAATAAAAACTCTCAAAAGGTCAGCATCTTGTGCCGGCATTTTTTCTGTTGGAGACTTTTTTGTTGCTTTTACTCCATCACAGGAGTTACAGGAGCCCATTTTTCCTTCCTAGATTAGTAGTGGCACACTGTGTTCAAACATTTAAAAAGCAAACAAACAAAAAATTCCCTATTTCAAAAAGCTTTAAACATTCAAATAGTCTTAATCAATTTATTAAGACCCAGTGAGCAAGAGCACACCCTACAGAGAACAATCCTGCAGTCGCAGTAATGTTCAGAACTTCTGAACTCCATTTTTAAGATCTTACAAAGTTAAGATTCTTCCCAAAAGGTAAATGGTAAATTACACCTTGTCAGAAAAAAAAATGAAGTGAAAGTGAGGGAGTAGGTTGTAAAAATGTGAGTTTTTTCCTGCCAAGTACAAATGCTGCACCCAGCAAGCCTGGATTGGGAAGACACTACAGAATTGCAACACTGCTATCAGAAATGAAGAATAAATTTTAACTAGTAAAATAAGTAAATTTTAAACCTAAATAAATGTTAAGATGATGTTAGAGGAAAAAGTCAATTATGCTGTCCATTGGGAACATTAATGTGATGCCTTCCCAACACTCCTCAGAACGAAGCACACCACTTGGTTCTGTTGCAAATTTGAGGAAGGGTAATATAGATGTTCAAATTAACCTATGAAGCTTTCTTTATAAAAGCAAAGAGATACACCCATTTTAAAAATAATCTTTTGTTGGTTAAATTTAACGCCCTGGAAAGCAAATGGAAGCAGTGCACATCTCAGAGTTATTGTTCTGCTTTTCCTGTTTGCTATCTCAGAGAAGCACAATTCTATTGAAGTCCTGTTTTTAAGATCCTCCAAAATGCCATAGCTAAAAACACTTTTTAACTGAACTTGCTGACTCAGAATGCAAACTGGTGTGCTGAGAATGGAATGGCCCACTCACAGCTTTGCCCTGGACTGCTGCAGGGCTCTTATATGACACATTTCTCACACTTTATTCTACTTCAGTACATCTAGCTCGGCAATCTCCAGAGAAATTTTTCATTTGAAAATCTTCAGAAACAATGCAGTACACAGAATGGATGGTTGTAGCTACAATACCTCAGCATGTGTAAAAAGCGAAACCAAGTTTGTGCAATGCACTCATTGTCCATTTCAGGAGGAATCAGACCAGCATCTTCTTCAGGAATTTTAAATGGAGGAAATGAAGGTCCATATGTAAAACGCAGTAACCTAGAAAGCAAGTCAGACAGATCTGTCATGCAGTTAAAACTCCTCAAAATGTAACAGTGCATCAAAGCCTCCAAGAAATGAGCAGGAGGCCATGAGGAACTACAGCAACACAATACCATGAGGATAATGGCTTAGGTAAGTGATTTGGGATCCTCACTGGTAAGCCTCTCTGAGCTGCTGCTGTCTGATTTGAGTCCTGCTTCATCCCCCGCTTTGCAAACTTCGCTCACTTCCCTGACCAGCATAATCTTGGTGTTCTCAAAAAGCATGGAAGAGAGAAAAGTGGTGCCTTCTGAAATTCCTAATCATTCCCAGAAACTATTTTTTGGTTTCCCTAAGCTAAATGCTCTTGTAGCACCATTTCTCACTTCAGATATTGTAGAAGCTCTGCTTACTCCTGAAGTTAAAGAGGCTGAGTTACCATTCACTGCAGCCAGTTCACACAAAGGACAGTCAAAGCACGTAGGGAACCACAGTCCATCACAGTGACTTGTTTGGCCAGAAAAGTAGATGAACTTTAGGATGAGGGCCTTCTTTAACTCCAAAACAGAGATACACATTCTCATATCAAGCAGGAGCCACTGTGCAGTGTGCCACACTGGATGCCCCAGCACCCGTTTGCATTTTGTGCCCCAGAGGCATGGTCCTATAGGGTTTTGCTGCAAAATTACCTAATCATGACCCGCCCAGTGAATCTTAGCATCAGCCTTGGCTTGCACTTCTTGCTAAGTCATGCCTCACATCTCTGTGCTGCAGAACACACAGCTTCACAGTCCCTCTTTTATGGGCTACGAGAAACCAGCTCCTCAAGGAAGCTGACAGAATCTTAACTGAAATTTGAGACTTACTCAAGAATGACTACAAACAGAAATAAGTTGTAATGCATGTATCCAGCACAATCAGTTAAAACAGACTTATAGCATCCTATGTGGGGAAAAGGAGCATCTATTGGTAGGGCAGCACAAGAGACCTTGTTTTATTCCACTGTGACATCATAGCCATGGATACAGATTAACACTGCATAAGGGTACAAAGTTCCAAATATAATTTGCTATCTGGATTTGAGATCCTTATTTGTGGCTGATTGATGACAACTCAATTCAGACAACGGTTCACTAGGATAGCACTTTAACTGTTTGAAGCTTTTATTTTACTTAAGTATTAAGAATTCAGCTTAAAATCCACTAAAAGTTAGCATCAGAGGAGTTCAGTTTGCCAGGGGTTAGATATAAACCAACATTACTATGCAGCTGATCAGCAAAATAAAAGTTACAGAAAACCTGCAGATTACTGTGAATCAACAGAACTAAAACTGTTAATCAACAGTGAAGGATAGAATTCGGGTATGAAGTGCATGGAACAGAAATGCCAACGCATGTTTGGATTCAGAGCTGCGCTTTTCAGATCAGTGAATCATAAAATATCTTCTGTTATGCAATGCTGCATTGAAGAACCAAAAATAGCTAAAGAAATAGCGTGGGAAATACACAAAACTTGCATTGCAGCTTTATTTCCCACAGGTTTAACAATTAGCTGCATAATCTGGAAACAGCTATTTATACTTGCTTTTTTAACAAGTAATTAAAAAGCAAGTTTTCAGTATTTAATTTTTCACAATGCAGCAATTTTAATACATTTTCAAACTTTCATGCAAATCACTATTAAGTCTCAAGGCAGACTCATCCCCCTGGTCCTCACTTCATCATCTCCAGGAGGATGAGATTTATCCCACAAAGACTTCACACCACAAAGAGCCCAGTGATATCAGTACTGATGCTCTCTGCACTGTTTGAGGCTTCCTGCTACAGCCCAGCCTCTCCTGCAGCCCCCAGTTCCACATAGTATGGCTTGGTACTGCTCCTGTGGAGGAAGAAGTCTGCAGCCTGCATCTGGCCCACTGCATCCCACAGCCAGCCCATCGCATCGCTGCAGCTTTACAGAGCAGGAGATGCCTCAAACACAGACACTGCTCAGTGGTGATAAGCACCTCATCATCTTGGTGATGCCTGTTACACACAAATCGTAATACTACACTAATGCTAATGACTCATTCCTCACAGGATATAATATGAAAGTCAGTGATGGAAACTGATATATATTCACACTGAGTAAAATGCTGATTGTTGGAGAAATGCTGAGATTACACAGTAACAGGGACAAACCAATATAGACAATTCACTTGCAGAATGAAAACACATACATGCCCAAACCATAAGAGCCAAGAGCATTTGTAAAATCTCTTATTAAGCACTTTGTTTTGCTTATTCACTCTGGGATCACCGTGCATTCCAGAAACACAAAACTCCAGAGAAATCAAGCCGTGATGATACCAGCAGGCATCTATTTCTTTGTGCACAATTTCTCCCACCTGGAGGTCAGAGCACAGATGACCTTGCTCCATTGCTCCACTACTGCAGGGTGATGCCGCCAGTTGGCCACCATCTCTTTGGCAGTTTTCCAGTACGGGGGTGTTGGAAAGCACCGCGTACAGGCCAGCAACCACACCTCGAACAGCACACCGATCAGCTTCTCCGCCAGGTTCTCAGCAATGCCACCTTAGAAATGAAGCATACTTTTAGTGAGTGCTCAATCTAAATAACTTCAGACATCTCCTCAAGGAATATTTTGATACTGAAGGACTCTCACAACCCTCACAGCTGCATCTCACCTATTAGATTACAGTTTAAGCAATAACAGTAAAGATTCCCAACTTTTTCATCGTTTTTTCATCATTTTTCATTTAAGGGTAATCCCCCATTGCTTCCTACAGAACTTTTTACAAGCCCAAAGAGAACAGAGAAAACCCAGCCACATGCACGTGTCATTAACAGATACTAGGAATTCAGCTACTGACCTTAGGCTGTCTTCTTCTGCACACAGAATATTTCATGTCTTATTCATTTTAAGTAAGGTATAAACTGATAATGTTATTTTTCAGTAGGAGGCCAAACTGGAAGGCACGTATGGGTTTCAGTGAAACTAACAGGGAACAACGGTATCTGAACCCTTCACTATGAAGTCTTTGTGTACTGAGTGCACTGTTCTGCAAAAACATATTTTGGAAAACTGACTCAGCTCCAAAGCACTCAATCTTCTCTGGCAGTGCTTTATTTTGAAGTAGTGTAGCAGAATTAGGAGTGAGCTATTGCACTCTGGTGGCTACTACAAGCTTTTAACACGTTTCCCCAAATTCCCATAGCAGTTCAACATCCAGCAGAGCAAAAGCATTTTCCAGTAATTGGATCAAATGAAAGTCTAACACAAACCTTGCACAGTTGGAGCCGCTAGAAGAGTATCATTAATCTGAAGAAGAAATAACAACAAAACCTCCCACGTTTCTCTTGCCATAATTGTTGATTCACGAGCCAATTTCTGGACTGCTTTCAAAACTTGCAAGCACAGCCTAATCTGACTAGATCCTGGGTCTGGCCTGCAAGAGAAGGAAACACTACTTGAGTCTCCAAAAAGGAAATGGAATACACCACAGAGCAGCGTGTTCAATAATCTGAACTTTGAGCAATTATAAGAGGAAATACCAGGATGGCTGAACTAGAGCCAAGAACATAACTAATTTGTGTGTATGCATCACAGCTGTGCCTCTGAGCATCCTCACTCTGCCTTAACAAGTACAAGGTGTACCGTAATGCTTTTCTTTACATGAACTCACCAACACAAAGTGAACATTTTAACCAGAGAAAGTATAATCTGTTATAATAAGAAAATATTTACTAGGACAAACAGTGTGAATGCTAAGACACCTTTTGTTATTCCATATTTAAGTGAGAAGAAAGTGTTGAATTTAGAAGAAAACATGTTAACAAACTTCTTCCTTGTTCACCTCTCGCTTCCAAATGTACACCCAACTCTTGCCTTGAATTTCTGGCATTTAGGAAAAAAAATCTGAAAGGAAGTCATTAAATAGGGAAACTAGACTAGAAGAAGAAAGGATAAGGAGGGAAGAAAGGGAAGAAGTTGGCAGTGTGAAGTTTTTCCCTGCTTAAAGAACCAGTTACACACTCTGCTGAGTCACACAGCACAAGGTGTTGCATGTGCAGCAGGCTCTCTTCCAACCAGCTTGTGCAAGGCAGAATGGGGACAGAACAGTTACATGAAGTGTTCTGGAGAGTACCTGAGGACACTGGTAAACAAATCTAAGCAAGCCCAAAAACTTAGAGTGAAAGAATGAAAAATGAAAGAGCTTACTGATTTAAATGTGCAATATATGCGAGCCATTTTTTGACTTGCAAACTTGAAATTTCAAGTTGTAAGCTTAAATCATCCTACCAGTTGCTAATAAAGAGAATCATAAAAATATGACCATCCACCAACCCACTAAGCAGCATTACTGGAGCCCAAACACTCTCAGTGCAATGTAAACCACAAGTCACACAGCAAGCTCTCAAGAACGTGCAGATCCAGTAGACAAAGATCTGCTATTTTCAGGGAACAGCAGCTCAAATTGAGACAATGTACTGATAGATGCTTTTTAAAAATATCACCAGCTCTTATCTGTGCAGTATAAATATACTGTGTGATAGTAATGGAAGCAAGATTACAAAGAGACAACACCTAGTGCAAAACTGTGGAGTAGTCAGAGTTCAGAAATTCAGCGGGTTGTTCTGTGCTGCTGCTCCTACCAGGTCATCTTGGTAAAGCAACAGAGCTGGGGACAAGCAAGCCTCTGTTACGGCACTGCTTTCCCCCCATGCAACAAAGCAAACTTTTAAAGCAAAGAATACCCTTATTTTGTCATTCATTATGTTTCAATGCCTGTCTCAAGAATTGATTCCCTAAGATTTTAATGAATTAATATTAAGGGATGTACAAATAGGAGCTCCTTGTGACTAATGGGAAACTTCTGAACAAAAGTAGGAAAGGCAGCTCTACAGCTTTCACCCCCTTTATCAGTTCCTTTTTTCCCCACAAAGTCAATTGAATGGCAAACTTCAGCTGCAACATTCTGCAGGCTTATTTCCAGAGATATCTACAGGACCTGTCCTTATGGTTTCCATACCTACACTCAGCAAGAATTGTTCCCAAAGTTTCATACATAAATTAGAAGTTATCAGAAAGGCCTCTGTTATGCTTGGCCACTCACACGTCCTACACGCCCTGTGGTCTCTCAAAAGATTCCAGACACCTCAGAGAGCAGACCCCAGGGCCAGGTCTACAACCCCATATTCCACAGGGCAGGGAAAAGAGAGTTTTCATAATTTCTTTCCATGGTTCAAGCAAATGTTTGCAGTACTGAAATTTTATCTAGAGTAATAACTACCACAGTTGTTTAAGTTGTGTGCTAGGCTCCCTGAGTATCACAGCATTGCTAGAAATGGACAGCCAGGGGGTTCCTTGAGGAGTACTCAACTACATCATGAAAAGAAGTCCTCCATTCAGCAGGGCAGGCAGGTCAGTGCTGCAGGGAAAGATGCACTTGTTCCCTAGTGTGTCTGACAGACAAAAGGAAAGGAGCTGGACTTGCTCCTCTTCCATTGTTCTTATTTTGTCAGCACCACGCTATTTCAAGGACTGTACATGTCAACAGCTGCTTCAGCTGGATATTCAAACTAACATGGTTTATACACATCTGTTCTGATGAGTACATATCACTGATACACCACAACTCTGAACCATGACTTCTAAGACAGCCAAGCACCCACTGCACTGTCAGAACACCAGGCCAAGGAAGGAAGCTGTCGTAATCCCAAACCTCTACATGAAATAGGTTTGACATTAGAGTTTCGTGTTTCCTGCTACTTAGGAGACTTGCAGGAGGTAGTTCAATGTATTCTCAATATATATCAATATACTGTAGCAATAGGTTGCTACAAGAGTTCCTGGATATGCATTCTACAAGTGCTTATCAGCACCGGGCACCTGCAGCAGTTTGGTACCAGAAGCAGGCTCTTCTCCCTCTGTACAGACATTTAAGAAGATGAGCCCTTCCTTTCTCTCAAACAGTTTGCACACAACATAATTCTGCATTTAATGTTTGTTACATCATGTTTTTGCATTGCTCAACTGAAGGAAACACTAAGATCTTCTTCCTGAAAAGGCACCAGGTACAAAAGAAGGAAAAAAAACAACCAAGCACAGCCTTTCAGATACATGTCAGGAGCTTGGGGAAGAAAAATAAGAGAGATCTTATACTTTGTGGTGTATGTGCACACAGGTTTACAGTCATGATTTCTCTGCTCAGCCTGCATCCAGATGTCAATTGTTTCATTCAGCAGACATCACACATGGTCTGCTATCCTGCATCAATCTCAATATATGAAGTTGGAGCAGAATCATAGAACAGCAATAGTGTCAGCAGCACACAGGAAACAAAACTGACTGCTAACAGGGCCTCTGGTGTAAAACATGGCAAAGGAACACAGGAAAAAGCTGCTTAATAAACAGGAGAAGAGTGCATTCTCCACTGGGCCAAGGAAATAAGCGTTTCTGAACTGTGCAAACTCCATTCTGCACCTATTAAAGATCTTCCAGAGATATGTCTGTCCTGCTAGGCTTCTTTAACAACTGCCACATTTCCCAACACCCAGTGTTTTTGGTACAGTAAACATGTTAACACAGCATGTGAAGTTGCTCAGCAGTCAATGGACCTTCTACCTCAACTTTATGTGCCACTGCAATGCTCCTTTATACTGATATGTATTACTGCATTTAGTTAAAATGACCTGGTGCCTGAAGTGAGAGCACAGGTCCCAGAACCTGCATCAATTGCTTTCAGAAGAAAAAAAACACTGATGAATAAGGATTCCAAGATTAAATATCTCCCTCTGTTTGAGAGCTGCTTATTGAGAAACAATGACTTAAGATCCCAGGTAAAGGAATCAGCAGTGTAACAAAGCCCTCCCCAAAAAAGACATTGTCTTCAGGAGTACAATTCATAAAGATACTGAAGACATCCGAAAATTATCTTATTAACTGTAAAATATTTGAAACTTGTGCATAAACACATTCAGGGTCACAGCTTGAAACTGAAGATAAAAAGATAGCAGTTCTTTGTTCTTCTTGGACACACATTCACATTTCCTTTTCACAGCAGGTTACTACTGGTGAATTCTGGTTTTACTCTTATGGAGTCCCATGACAAAGCCCAGCTAAACCTAGCTAAGGCATCAGCCAGCTCAAGGCTAGAGGCCAGCAGCCCAGGAAAGGAGTGACTGCATTTCTTTACCCTTCCTTGACTTCTCCAATGTAGTCACCAAGACCAATAGTTAGAGACAGCTTTCTGTGGAAACCTTCAGATTAGAAGCATCCTTTATTTAAATTTCTTCCCTCCACTGGTTCCCTGAGTGTCCTTTAAAGGGAATTAAAACATCTTCTTCCACTGTGCCTTAAGAGGAATTA